CAGCAGTAAGTACCTACTTTTCTATAAATGTAGGACGAGTTAATTCGAGGAAATGAAGTTTTGATTTGATACTCGGGACTCTCGTAGTGAACGTAATACATTGCGCGATCGTTTAGGTGTCAGCAAACTTATTTCTTATAAAATACTAGAAAATATTAAAATTACTTAATTATATTATTATCAAATAAATAAATGAAGGTTTTTTTAATACATATTTGAAAAGTGGAACCGTCCCAATTGTTTATGTGAAATTCCATCTTTGTAAACGCATACACCACACCGCGAGAAATCAGAAATGCGTAGAAGGTGACCAGTAGTGACCACGTTTCTATAAAATAAAAATAAATCATGAATTGTTATGCCTCCATTTAAAACGCAGAAAGCGAAACGTTGCATCGTGTGGTCCAGTGAAAATGCCTTTTTACACTATTTATAAGTTTAATTGTGTTAAGTGCCATCTATCCAGTGTAACAGAAACTAATACATTGCCTGCTTTTGATAAGCTAACGCGAGAGAGACAGACTGACAGTGCTCAAAAGAGGGCAATTCTCTACTAGAAAGTATAGTCCTCAGACTAATTGAAAATGTTTTATTAAGAAATTTGTTTGGTAAACGAAGACGTTACAAGTACGTTGCCCTACTTACGCACATCCTTATAACGGAATTGAGAATCAAGGATTTTGAAATGACTGTAAAAAACATATTCTTCATGCCCACAATATAACATCGTTATGGTCGTTTCAAAATAACCCCAGAGACCACCATTAGGCAATTAATTAAAATAAAACAATAGGTATATAATTTTGAACATTTTATTTTGTCATAAATCACCTAGAAGAGTACAAGCGGAGTAAACTTAAATCTATCAATTACAACATGAATTACTTTAATGCAAAACATTTACTATCATTGTAACGAAAATAATAAAATAGTAACATTATTTTGGAACATATTTTTTGGAATGGAACCAAAAGGTGAGATCCTAAGGTAAAATGTTGGTAGGTATGTATATGTGCTTATCGCAAGATACGACGTGCCCAAATAATTATTATTTCTATCCTTATTTATTTAATGTTCTTATATCTATCATCTTACACACCTATTATTCTTGAACAGCATCAATATTTAACTAAATTAACTAAAACTATAATTATGATAATATAATTTATGCAATCGACTAAACCAAGGTGTCGAAAAAGTTACTAAAGACTAAGAAGTCAAACATCACTTTATAACGTGCTTCGAATAAAAACTAAATAATTTTTCCCTTCGTCTTACACTTCGATGGGGAAATACGATTTAGTCTGCCCTTTTCAGTACCAAGAAAAATATCATTATTTATCATTACTTTTAACTAAAATTCCAAATAGGATAGGAAACATATATGGCTTCTCCATAATAATGAATGAATGCCAGTTTTTGACTAGTGGCATACATACCATGTTTGCCTTTATTTTCTGTCGTTAATTCAAATTTAAATTTCGATTTACACACCCTTCCCATTCAATGTGCGTAACATTTCTCAAAAAGTTACCTAATATTCCATTTTTGGAAGGGAACTACAATATCACAAAATATATACCTAAACTAAAAATACTGTCCGAAACTATTGCTGTTATTCCATATCGAATAACAGTACCAAATTATTCAAATGAAAGAAAGCTTAAAACTAAATTAAGAACTAACGAAATTATAACAAAGTTGTGTACAAGTATAATTGTGTTTCGACATCACACACGATAACGTGAACTGATGACAGGTGACGGGTGACAAGTGACAGGTGACAGGTGACACAATGCCAGGTGTCACTCCGCGAGCTATAAGCCCCGCGCAGTGAGTGGTGGGCCTTGTCCCTAGTCGGTGCGCTTGTGGTCCTGCTCGTACTGCAGCAGCTCGGCGAGGTTACTGATCTCTATCTCCTGCACGCCGTTGCCAGCAAAGTGCATGTAGTCGTGAGGAGGGGCATCAGCTGACCGTTTGCGGACTGTAATCAGAACACGATTCATTTTAGAAAAGGAGTCTATAAAAATGGCTAGCAAAATTTAATCTTTTCAGTAGGCAGTTAGGCACAATACATACCTCGTCTGAAATACTTTGACGTTATAATAAAAAAGTTTAAAAGCTATTTAAGTATGACAGAGGTATCTTAATGCTGCGAAACAAGATCGGGATAGAAATGACGATATAAGAATAGTGTAATACTTACTGACGACAGCGACTTCCCTGGTGAGTGGGTAGATGGGTTTGTCGGTGCAGAGTTGTCCGAGATGTCTCGGCGCGGGGCGCGGCGGCAGCACGGCCCGCAGCGGGGTGCGCACGCGGCTGACGTCGAAGTCTGCGCCGGCCGCCAGCCCCGCCGCCAGCTCGCCCGGGGACACCACCGCCGCCGGGTCCATGTCCATCATGAAGCAACGGTCCGAGTCCACGATACCTGAGTTCGACCACACACTCATTTAAATCGAGTTATCGACACTGAAAACTATATGAAAACCAAAAATTAATAGAATTTATTTACTCGTTCATAATCGGCGAGCTCTCTAAAAGCCAAAATATACGTATATTCACCTAGTGTGTAGCAGTAATCGATTATTGAGAGCTGAAGACTAAGCTCAGTTGCAGAAGAGACCTAGGACTAGCATCGGTCGGAAATCCAAAGGTTTTCTTGACACTTACCAGTAATATTAGCCTCGAAGTCATGCAGGAAGCTGACGGGGTGGCCGTTGTTGAAGACGGATATCTTCTCGACTGACTGCTCGATGTCGATGTCGAACACCTCCCGCAGCATGTCCAGCAAGTGATCCGGATCATCGTCCTCCGTCACGCTCACCACCTGGTTGAGATTTATATTTAAGTACGTAAACTAAGGCCCGTATTAATAAACCGATATCAGCGTAAGATCGAGATGTTAAGATCCTGTTTGATATTCCGACGTATTAATAAACAAAACCTAATACGCGGTTTAAGACTTTGTCATCACCTGAGATCGCATTGTTTAATAAACATTACTCGGGTTTCAAAATCGGTATTAGGATGGTTATCAAGACCGCGATTGTTAAGTTCAGTCGACCCTGGACTTAATATCGTGAACTCGTATCTAAGTATTTCGCGGGAACCATGAATATTGAGAATATTATTTCCGAAATCAATTATTATGATGAAGTCGACTAATACGATGATATTTTATGGCCTTTTCAAAATCTATTAGGTACTTAAAGTTTATATAAGTACCTCAAGTTAATATATACCTACAGGAGATTGCTAGCTTGAATAGGCATTTTTGACTCCATTATCGAATATGAATAAGTAACATAACATCACGCCTTTTATTCCCGAAGGGGTAGGCAGAGCTGCACATTATGCCACTGTACAATGTAACACCCACTTTTCACTATTTATGTTATTAATCCCATGTAAGCCTGAGCCTATTGTCATATACCGGGCACAATCGGGATGACGACAGGGTATGAAAATTAAAAATCGAATTAGTCCGTAAGTTAGGTATTTAAAAAATATTAGACACGTATTTTTTTATTTTGTCGTATAATAAAACAATACTTAGATAAAACGAATCACAGTTTAGGAGTGGAGGCTAAAACGTCATTTCTACGTATAAAATGTACAAAAAAGTGACGTCACACGACATTTCAAATCAATATATCGTGGAAAGTATTCGTTTCTGTAAGAAAATAAAAAATACGTGTGTAATGATTTAAAATAATCTACCAGACGGACATTAAAATAAAAATTAGTCGTCTACCCTA